CTTTTTCAAAGCATTGGCTTGAAACAAATTGGTTAAAAAAAATCACCTTGTGACAGTAATATATATTCATGAAAAAAATAAGAGCATTAGAAGAAAAAAGTTTGAGAATTATTAAGGAAATTTTAATTCATTTAAGCAAATAATCAAGGAACATATTTCATAAAATATTTTTTGTAATTACTTAGAGAAAAATTGTGTATAAAACTGCAATTTGTAAAGAGTATTTTCAAAATTGCGTCATAGGGATCTTAACTTTGAAGCATGAAAATTATAAAATAAAATCTTAAGAGTATATAATGAAAAAATTTCGTTTGAAAAGTATTTATTAGCAATTACTAGAAAAGTATTTAGCAAGCAATTTCTTCTGACTCAAGCAAAAAAAGTATTTGAATTATTTCCCTTATACAGACCTATTCTCACTGTTACCGGTAAAGTAAATTTTGTTACTTTTTTAACACCCGAAATTGAATTTGGTATTCTGGCGAGATGGTTACAATATTTGAAAAACTTTGGCAGCACTGCTTTTCTCGTCCTTGTCAAATTACATTTGTCAGTTGATAAAGTAAAAAGAAAAATATTCACATCGAAATGGAAGACGGTGCACAACAAAATAACGGAGTTTTACTCATTTGTTTCTTAAATCAGAAAAACATATTTGAATCTAATTTTTTAAAGTATGCCTAAATGACAAAAAAAGCTGAAAGAAAACATTATCTTCCTCCTATTTCGTTGGGAACAATTTCCTATTTCGTTGGTTACAAAATTTACAGGGTTACAGTGAATTCAGAATGCAAAATAGTAACAAAATTTACTGAATGGTAAATTTTAATACCTAGGTAAATTTTGTTACCTCGAAAGAATAGGCCTGATAGAAGAGCATTTTTTATTTCATTATTAATTTTTCTTAAAATAATGTTTTCAGTATTATGATTCTTATTTTGTATATATTTTTTACATCGCCTAATAACTCAACATTGGTTTTCGTAAATGTTTCTAGTTTTCGGCTTCTTAAATTTTAAATTAATTTAATTTTATTTAATACGTTATTCACGTACATCATTCATTCTCTTAGTTTATATAAATTCATGATAATATCGTAGCAGGTAACAATGTTTTTCGGAAAAGGCTTCTGCTACACGTTAAACCGATTATTATATTGAACAATGCAAAATAAATAAAAATTTTAAAAATAAAAAAAAGAGTTGTTAACAAATGGTTCTAAAACCCTTAAGCATTCAAAAATTAGTATATTTATACACCATTTATTGTAATTATACAATGATATGCTCTCCATTACCTTTTATCGCCATCAATGAAAAATTAAAGAAAAAAATAGAAAATATTTCCACTCAATAACTTTTAATTACCATTATAACTAATTAATATAGCAACAAAAAGAAAAATGCAAAAAAAAAAAACAAAACAATTCCATTTAATTTTTCACTCAAACTGCAAAGCATTCAAAACCAAATTAAAACTTTTTTACACTTGTAATGAACTTAAATAAAATGTTGAAATGTTGAAAACTAATAACAGCGCAACAAAAAATTATACAGTGCGAAAACAGAATATTCGTACATATATATATCATTATACATACACAGCATAGTTATTTTCAAGCTGTTCACAATTAATGCAGCAATAAATGCAGTCAGTTGCAGGACAAAGTTTGAAAATTGATATGCTCAGCGCAGCTTTCGACTCGTCCCATCGCAAATATCATTAGATGGCGTTGTGGGTGATGATGTCAGTTGTAGAGCAAAAATTAATTATGAATATGAACATGTGCTGTTGTAGAACAGCAACAACAACTAATAAGCGTTAGTAGCTTTTTTATTGTTGTTATTATACACTTCTGCTCATTCTGTTCATTGCTGTGGATGATTGTCACAACAGCTGACAGGAATATGCTGTTAAATAGAGGTATGCATGTATGTATGCATTTGTAAGTGTGTGTTTCAATGGTTAGTCGACAGCAAATTAACATCTAATTATGCTCATTCCCCCACGGGAAGTGCTCCAACGGATATACTGTGATTACAATTATACTCTATGCTTATGATGTACGCTAAGCAATGGAAATATAGATTGAGATGTAAGGCTACATAGATGTTAAAACGCTTGAAGAGAATGCCTTACGTAGAAGCGTAAGTGTGGTATGAGTAGTGTTGAAACAATTGTAATCAAAACCTAATTCTGTCTTACCGACTAGATGAAATCGAGGAATTGTTTACAAAACTCACAGCAACAATATTAATGAAGCGTTACGGCAAATAGGGACAAAACTTGATCGTGTATGGCTTTTACACTCGAATTAAATGAAAGAAACTGTTTGAATTTTCTGACATAAAGAAAATTAACAACAGCCAGTAAAAATTATTTAATTTATCTTAATTATTTTTTATTCTTCATTTCGATTATTTAATTTTATTTTCCTTTATTTATTTATTTATTAAATTTTATTTTATTTTATTTCATTTCATTTCATTTTATTTCATTTCATTTCAACTTATTTTATTTAATTTTATTTTATTTTATTTTATTTTATTTTATTTTATTTTATTTTATTTTATTTTATTTTATTTTATTTTATTTTATTTTATTTTATTTTATTTTATTTTATTTTATTTTATTTTATTTTATTTTATTTTATTTTATTTTAATTTATTTTATTTTTATTCTATTTAGTTATTATTATTTTTTAATTTAAGCTTATTACTGTTAAATTCAACAAAAAAGTCTTCAATCAAAACTTTTCAAGATATTCGTTCAGACAGGAATTGTGACAAAGATGTTGGAAAGAATTGCAGATAATGAGTTTTTAATGACCAACAAACCTGTCAATGCCGAGCCTTAAATTGAAAAATATGTATCTGGCACATTCTCAGCCAATTCAATTTGCATTTCTATGAAAGTAAATTTTTAAAAGACTTACCAGACACCATATCTTCAATATTTACTGACGTTTATATGTCTAATATAAATTTTTTCTCTTTAAAATTTCTCTTTCCTTTCAAGAATACATCTTTTCGCAACCAATATATGCATTTGATTAACGCTTAAGTATACGCAAGAGAATACGTAAAGATTTTTGGGCTTTGGGGGTATTCTTTTGTCAATCAGAAAGCCCTAACAAAGCCTAAGCAGGTTTTGTAACAAATATTGGATTAAGTAGTAATGTATATATATGTGTAATTAGAGTCTTGCTGAGAACGAAAGAAAAAATGGGGATTTAGTACCAATAACGACTTCAACTTTATAAGCTACAATAATAATAATAAATTATATAATAAATTAATTAATAATAAATTAATAAATTAAATATGAAATAATTATTATGCATATTTGTTGAATTATCGATTTATTGTGTAATCGATCGTTTTTAATATAATTTTTTTATACACATTTATTTTATTATTTAATCTATATTCAGTTGAAGAAAATCAACTGAAGTTAGGATAATTCAAACGAAATGATTACAAACAATAACAAAGAATTTCTTTATAATTATAATTAAAAATATTTGTAAAAATATATCGTATTTGAAAATTTATTTCAAATCCCATATTCTTAACTTATGTTACAAGAAATTTTTTTTAATAAAATACTCATATTCAACAAGTTCAATGCCAGGAGTTGTACTCAGCCCTCTAGAAAAAACAAGTTGTTGAACTCTTTAATAAATTGAAAAACATAAAATTAACGTAATTATATTACAAACACAACAGGAAGCTAAATAAATGCTGGCAGCTACTTTAGTGGAGCAAACAAAAAAAAGTAAAAAAGTTTGGTGGAACATCTCCAAATAAATATCGATACATAGTGCAGTGATGCCAAAAGCAGCGCGTAAATATATTATTATAAGCAATGGAAATAACAATAAAAATTCACTTCCCATATGCATACATACTCGTACATGTGCATATACATACCACACACACGCGAAAACATTTTTCGAAAAATTTCGCCAAAGTTAAGTGTTGCCCCTGAGCATGGAAAAAGTGCGTTCCCAAGCAAATACATAAACATTGTGATAACAGAAAATATTCTGCCCCTTTTTCTCACACACACACTTACAAACCCTACAAACAGAGGCAGCGAAATTATAGGTGCTGTTTATTGTGGTTGGCAGAAAATAACAATACGCACACATACAAATGCAAAACAAAAGTACTTTCGCTATTTGCAAATGGCATGGATGTTAAAGCCAAGCCTGTAGCGTCTTTTCTCTGTTCTTCGCTAGTGTTTCGGCTTGTTTTGTTTTTTCCTTTTTGGTGTAATAGAGGCTTCCGCCCTGCAGCAGATACTTGGCAAAAACTAACTACTCTTTTTTACAAGTTTTTTATGGCCGTTGTTGCTGAGCAGTTACAGTTCACAGGCCGCAGTGCCAAAAGTCTGCTGCGTTTTATCACAATTGTTGTTGTTCTTTGTATTTTATTTTCATTTAATGTTCGCTTTCTTTCTCAGCATTCACAACATTGTTGTTTCGATTTTTGCTATTCACTTTCAAAAAAAAAGTTTTGCAAGTTCTTAGTAATACTTATACATGACGTACTTACATTAAGTGGGGAACTAAATACTATGTGTGTATTTCTATATAATAACTTTAAGACTCAAAAAGCTTAGTTTCTTTTAATAAAACACTTAAAAAAAAATATTTTTTTAATTTGTTTTAAATAAAAATGCAATATTTTTTACATTTCCACAAGTCTCAAATTTAAAAAACTTAATAATTTTAATTTTGAGCTATATAAAAATAAATTTATGTTCAATACTCATTTCAATTTTAAATTAATTCGTTGATTAAATTTTAAAATTTAATTTAGTAATGCTTAAATTTTACACATGTTTAACAAAAAATAAAAAATGACTTAAAAAATAATTTTTGGTATCTTTAATTAAACACTTTTATATACAATATAAATTACTTATAAATTAAAAATAAATATTTCTTGGTTCTTCTAAATCAAATAATATGACTACTGTCGGTATGTACATACGATATCGTTGTGTGTTCAAACAATCAACAACTCAACTCAACTGCCAGGCTACTGATATGCCACAAAACTAGTTCATATCCGTTTCCTACCAGCAACTATCACTTATTTTAGTTGGCAGTAATCAATTGATTTGTTATCAGCTTAGAACAATAAATTTTGCTGCATGCACACACCCACTTTCAACTACACACTCGAAGTTTTATTACAAAATAAATTGCTGTAAATATTTGAGATAATGCGTGGAGATTAGCTCACTTCAGCTGGATTGATGACAAAGAATGCAGAGTAAATAAATTGCATGTTACTATTTACAAAAATAGATTATGAAATCGTAACAAATAAATATGTTTGTTGCCTAGGAAGACTACTCAAAAATTATAGCGCAACGCCTTTCATCGTGGAATGTGAATAATAAGTGAATACTTACTCTAAAAAGATTAGTAAATTTATAAAAGCCTTTTCCAAAACCAAATTAAATTTTTTAAGAGTTGACAGCACTACTTTGCAATGTTATTTTAGACAAAATTTAAGTCACAAAACTTTTTTGTGTCTCGAAATATGGCAATTTATTCATCAATGCAATAATTAAAAAATAACTGATGGCAATCCAAACATGTTTTATAGTTGTCCGCACAATAAAATAATTAAAATTTTCAAACAGTTGGTCGCTATTTCAAAATATTTTCGTTACAAGCTTTCAGAAGTTTTATACAATTTTTTGTGGACTTTGTAGTGACCTTTCAGTTAAAAAAATATTTTATTTTATCTTCAACTATAACTGCGTGGTATTTTTCGTAGCCACTTTCAATTTTATTATAAACATATTTTCAACAAAACTTATAATTTTTTCCTATGCGGGAATCAAATAATTAACTTGTTAGAGTATATATAACTGTTAAAGTTTCTACAAGATTTTTTATGGTTACTCTCAATCCCATAGTACTTTTGAGTTATTTCGGTGCTGAAAAATATTTAATTAACAAAAGTTATTTGTTTTTCCGAAATTTCTGGAAATTATCCAAAGCAATTTTACTTATAATTTGTACTTTTCGACCAGCATAATTTGTACCTCCGCAGTTATGCACTAATCAACTTCCCACTGGGCTAATCGCCATGGTTATGCGTAAAGTAATAATCAGAGCGAATTAAATATCTATCTATGAACAATAAATGCCTGAACGTAAGTCTATATTCACATGAATTAGCTTAAGCAGTAATAATGCTTATAGATAGCGGCATGCACCAGTAAATATATACTCATTTATAGTGTATAATCAAAATGTTAACTTAGCATTATAGCATGTCTAATCAAAACAATAACAAAAAATATGTTTGTATATATTTGTAGGAAATTGTTACTACTAAATAACTGTAATTCTTAAATTTGTCTGCCATATAAGAGCGAATAAAAGGAATTCCAAACTCCTATAACACAAAAATCCGCTTTAACAAATCTACCACATTGAATACGTACTTGTACGAGTATATGTGTCAAAAGCAACCACTACTAAACTATTTCAAAAGATCAAATCATCAAGATTTCACTTTGACAGGCCTTTTTCGTCGAGGTAACAAAATTTACTTTGGCATTAAAATTTACCATTCATTCAATTTTGTTACTATTTCGTTTTCTGAGTTCACTGTCACCCGCAAATTTTGTTACCAGCGAAATAGAAGATAACAAATCAATCTGCTGTCTGTGTTCTTAGTTTGAGAAAAATTTAAAACCAAAATGGGTAGGCATATTTTACGCCTGGAAGTCAATGAAGATGAAGAAAAGAGTGTAAAAAGGCGTATGCCAAGAAGTTTGTGGAATAAATGAGCGGAGTCAATTAATCACACCAACAGGCCTATTCTGTCCAGGTTACAAAATTTACTGTGGTATTAAAATTTACCATTCAGTAAATTTTGTTACTATTTCGTATTTTGAAGTTCTTTTGTCACTTTGGCATATTTTTCAAAATTAGGTTCAAATATTTATGATTTAATAAACACAAAAATAAAACTTATTTATTTTGAAGTGCATCGTCTTTCGATGTGAAGATTATTCTTTTTTACCTTAGCAACTGGCAAATATAATTTGACAAGGACGAAAAAAGCAGTGCTGCCAAATTTTTTCCAAACATTGTAACCATTTCGGCAGAATACCAAATTCAATTTCGGGTGTTAAAAAAAGTAACAAAATTTACTTAACCGGTTATAGTGAGAATAGGCCTGTAAATGGAAAAATAAAATAAAAGAAAATGCTTACCAGCGCTGGCACTAAGCGAGGCGTTTACGAGCAGATAACTATTGTTGTAATGGTCATAATAATAGGGTGTGAAACGTTATTTAACAAACATATAAAGAAATAATTTTTAAGTTTGGTTAGTCGCAGATTATTAGTGACCTTGACATATTATAAAACAATCTCAAATTGAATAACAAATACATTAAAATTAAATAATATAAAATAAAATTAAATAAAATAAATAAATAAATATAATAATAAAATAATAATAAAAAATATTAAAAAAATAACACAAATAAAATAAAACCAAATTACTAGAAATATAAAAAAATCAAATAAGATTAAATGATATAAATTAAATTTAAATTGACAAAAAATAAATCAAAATAATATAAAATAAAAAAATTAATAAAGTAAATTAAAATAAAAGAAAATAAAATTAAATTAAATAATTAGACAATATTAGATTAAATTAAACTCTTTAAACAAAATTAAAAAATTAAATTAAAAAAAGAAAAAAAAACTGACTAAAACAAAATCACATAAAATAATACAAAATTAGACGAAATGAAATCAAATTAAAAAGGAAATAAAATAATACAAATTAAAATAAAAGAAATATATAAACTAAAATTAAATATAGCAGAGACTTAAATTAAGTAAAATAAAAACTCAAATAAAAAAAACAAAATCAAATGATTTAATAAAATAAAACAAGCTAGCACACCATCAAAGGAAATAATAAATAATGAGACAAAATGAAATAAAATTAAAAAAATAAAATAAAATACAATGAAGTGAAATAAAATAAAAAATAGAAGAGTAAACTAAAATCAAATAAAACAAGGTAAAGTAATCTAATATAAAATAAAAAAAATAGAATAGAGTAAACTAAAATCAAATAAAACAAAGTAAAGTTAAATAAAAACAAATTAAAAGTAAATAAAATAAATTAAAATTAAAATGAATTGAATTATATTTAATAAATTAAAAAATAAATATATTAATTTAAATTAAATAGTTTAAAACAATATAAAAAATGAAATAAAATATAGGAAATTAAATAAAATAAGAAAATTAAAATAAAATAAATCAACCTTAAATAAAATAAAATAAAGTAAGATCAGAAAATAAAACAAATAATAAATAAAATTAAATATAGTTAATTAAAATTAAAGATAGTTTAAAATCAAGTAAAATATATATAAATTAATTTTTTAAACATATATATAAAATATGCGGACTTGCGTCTTGCTATTTTTCCATCAAATGGAGGGACCTACAGTTTATACTAAGTTACCGCCGAACGGCTGATGGTTTTTTATACCAGAAATACACTCTGAAAGAAACTTGATTTTTTATTTATATACATTTTCAAGGACTTTCGGATGTTAGTCGCAATGCTAACCACTCGTCTACTGCGTCACATATTTTGAGTGCTTACACCGGCTTAGCTTAACTTACACATTAAATAAAAATAAACAAAAAAAATTAAATTCAATTAAATAGAATAAACTAAAGTAAATAAAATGAAATAAAATAAAATAAACTTCAATAAATAAAACTAAATAAAATAAAATAAACTACAATAAAATTAAATTACATTAAATTAAATAATATGAAAATAATAAAATTATATTAAATCACAACATATGGATATATAAATTTGCCTTGCCGCTGAAACGATTTTCGGTCAAATCTCCTCCTCCAATTTTTGGTTTTGCGACTTGATGTTTTTCAATCGAATGGAAGGACATAAAGTTTACACTAAGCCGCCTCTGAACGGCTGTTGGTTTGTTGAAATTAAATAAAATAAATTTAATTAATCTAAATAAATTTAATTAGATTAAATATATTAAAGTAAATAAAATAAAGTAAAATGAAAACAAATAATTTTAATTATTATTTCCTAATTCAGCTTTTTTTTCGCAATAATTTATGAGTGAAGCTTCCACATATTAAGTACACTTTACTATCGGCTCATAATACCTGCAACTACTGCTATAAATACTTATATATGTAACAATAGCAGTCAACTGCTGCATAAAGTTTACTTAAACATATGCTCCGCTCACTTTGCGACTACATAACTAATGCGCTTTATGCCGTTCCTAACAATATATATAATCGATACTTTAGTGTTATTGTTGCTGTTGTAATTCCTGTGCTGTTAACCCTACTGAACATTCCCTGCAGGGAGAATGTTACCTATTGTGAAAAACTTCTAGTTAATTGCAGATATTTTGAAAATAAACTTATACCAGGTTATTTGTACATCAGTTTAACAGTACCTTACCATCGTGTGTTGCTGTTATTTCGAACACGCCACTACGGTGTTCCACTCGACCGAAGTGCGCAAAATAACACTGAACACTAAATCGTGAATATTATAGTTCGATTATTATTGAAGACAAAAGCATTTTTTCTTTATTTATTCTTGTTGAAATTCAACATGCCTAAAAGTATGCAGCTCGAATAAAGCTAGTTCAAAGCAGTTGACAGTTGGTAGGACATTGCTGTGTTAAAAAAACTGCGGCTGCATGCATGAAAAATAGATGGAAGATGAACCACTGAACGCCAAAATGAAACGAAGTTTGTTTTTAGTTAGCAACTAGTATTTTTTCCTGCAGCACAGCTACGTGCGGTTTTAACTACTGTACTAAAATTTACTACTAATAGACCTATGTTTTGTTCAGCTGCATAAACATAACATGAATACATGCATACGTTTATGTATGTAAATATGTTTATGTATTAATTTGCTTACTTGCAAGTTCATGCATCTGGTATACTGTTGAGTCTTACAACCGGAAATAATGCTTACAATCAATGTACACTTTAATACCTACTAAAATAAATAGATATGTGTGTTTAACCAGATAATTACTATATTAACTTTCCTTCTTTTTCCCAATATTTATTTTCGGTCGCCTTTATCATTCTCTCATCCTACTTTCCATCGCTACAATCACAACAGTGCCCACAGCAAGTATATTGGGTGGACCTGATCTGTATGTGGATAAAGGTAGCACAATTAATCTGACATGTGTAATAAAGTTCAGCCCGGAGCCACCGACACACATTTTTTGGTATCATCAAGATAAGGTGAGTGCTTAAAGAGCTTTGAGTTACATACTTAGTCACATCTTTATATTGATATAATTTTTGTAGATAGTTTGTGAGGATTACGTAAAATCCAAAATGAAGTGACGATCCTTAATAATTACTAATTAACAAAATTGTAACACAAATATTTATGAAAATAAATCACGCTATGTCTATTATTAACAATAATATATAATTATATTTATCCTTATTTCTATATATTTATTGCTAATATATTTTATCAATACTATAATTTATATTATTCTGTTGAAGCTGAAACTAATTTTAAATGAAAGCAAATACGATTATGTACAGATAACATTTTAAAATGCCTTCATTAACAATTAAGAAAAATTAAAGCCGTGCATTTCATATATTTAATAAATAAATAAATCTCCTGGCAAAAGTTCAATTTTAGCTCTAGAGTTGCGAAAAACTCTCAAAATAAAAAAAATAATATTAAGTTGTTTTGATTTCTATTGGGTTGCCCAAAAAGTAATTGCGGATTTTTTAAAAGAAAGTAAATGCATTTTAACTAAAACTTAGAATGAACTGTAATCAAATATATAATTGCCATTTTGTTCGATAACCTTTTGCCATCTTCCTGGCAAATTTAGTATTCCACGCTCATAGAACTTCTGGCCTTTATCTGCAAAAAACTGAACCAAGTGCGATTTTATAGCCTCATCATTGCCGAAAGTTTTACCATTTAAGGAGTTCTGCAAAGATCGAAATAAATGGTAGTCTGATGGTGCAAGGTCAGGGCTATATGGTGGATGCATCAAAAGTTCCCAGCCAAGCTCACTCAGTTTTTGGCGAGTGACCAAAGATGTGTGCGGTCTAGCGTTGTCCTGGTGGAATATGACACCTTTACGATTGACCAATTCTGGTCGCTTCTCCTTGATGGCTGTATTCAATTTGTCCAATTGTTGACAGTAAACATCCGAATTAATCGTTTGGTTCCTTGGAAGCAGCTCAAAATATACGACACCCTTCCAATCCCACCAAACAGACAGCATAACCTTCTTTTGGTGGATATCAGCCTTTGAAGTGGTTTGAGCTGGTTCACCATGCTTGGACCATGATCGTTTTCGACTAACGTTGTTGTAAACAATCCATTTTTCATCTCCAGTTATGATTCGTTTTAAAAACGGATCGAATTCATTGCGTTTAAGGTGCATATCACAAGCGTTGATTCGGTGTGTTAAATGAATTTCTTTCAATACATGTGGTACCCAAATATCAAGCTTTTTCACCAGTCCAAGACTTTTTATGTGATAATGAACGGTTGATTTTGGTATATTTAACTTCTCTCCTATCTCACGCTCAGTTACATGACGATCCAATTCGATTAATGCTTTGATTTGGTCATCATCAACTTCATTTGGCCGACCTGAACGTGGCTCATCTTTAAGTGAAAAATCTCCAGAACGGAATTTGCGAAACCAATTTTGACACTGTCTTCCTTTTAAGGCTTCATCACCATACACATCTCGTAACTTTTTAGCAACCTGCTCCGCGTTTTTTCCTTTACGGAAATAATAAAGTAAAATATGACGAAAATGCTCCTTTGTGGGCTCCATATTAAAATTGACGCCAAACAAACAAATGTAAACAAATTTCGCGCACGTTTTTTCCAAAGCAAGCTAAAAGTAACAGCTGATAACTGACAGAAGAAAGAATACAATTACAGAGTCACAAGCCGTTGAAAAAAATTTGTCAACGCCGACTATATGAAAAATCCGCAATTACTTTTTGGGCAACCCAATAACTCGTAAAACCTTAGTAAGAACAATAATTTTTATGTGACTGTCGTTAGAAAAAATAAAATAGGAAGAAAATATATGGAAAATTTTCTGAAACGTTGAGAAAAAGGATCGTGACGGGCTCATTTTTCAACCCTACTGCCAAATTTATATTAACTTCAGGTCCGAAAATAACAAATCTAGCGAAATGTGTTTGCCTTTATAACGTTTTTAAGTATGACCTTACTTTGAAATAATTAATTTTGAATTTACTTTCAAAAAGGTTTTATATCAAGGAAGTTTAAGATTCTAATCTGCACATATTTCTCGCTATAGCAAATAAATTTTAACTTTATATCTTTTTTGTTGTCTTAAATTTCAATTTATTTTAAAATAGTTAGCAGTCTTGCACATAGTTATGAGAGGGAGGTAAATTTTCCGTCCTAACTTATCGATTAGCACCCGAGATACCTCTCTGATTTCACTGGTATTTTTGGACAATAATCCAAAAAAAAAATCATCGCCAAACGCATAGAATCTTAATTAGTAACATTAACATTATCTGCTAATAACATACAAGCCGATAATTAGCACATATAATTTGAACGCTTCACCGCCGCCTACCACTGTAATATGACTCTTAAACGTCGAGAGAAAATATGTTTGTATTTTCAAAAGCAGAAACAAATAAACCGAAATAAACAAAAATTGGTATTTTCATTGAAAACAAATGAAAGCAGAAGTTAATTAACGAGTTTTGTGTCCAAATTTAGGTAAAGCATATTGCCAGGCATCTTTTGGTTCGACATAAAGTATTTGCCAAAAATATGAGCCTTCACACACACAGACATTGACACGCAAGGAACATAGTTTTCATGTTGGCACGCTACCAAAGTAAAATTTTTCCAATAAATTATGGAGCTCAAGTACCGCAATGCTTACAGGCAGCTGAAGTAAACTGTTATGAGCCAAGGCATATGCAGACGGAGTAGTCAACTCCACTAGCATGAGAGCGGTGCGGTGCGAACCAAAGTCTACTCAGCTGCGTGGGAACAAACAAGTTACCAGTTTTAACAACTTTTATCGCAGTAATTTTTTATCGAACATCGTATAAAGCATACACGTGAATATGTATCGACACAAACACGGTTCACTTGTTATCGCCCCAAAGAGTGTATAAGAACATGCAGTGGGTATTGAGCCTACAAAGGGCGACACTCGGGCTCTAAAGTAGGCACCATACTTGAAGTGGTGCCTATCACAAAAGGATGTATACAAATATATATAATTTTGCTTGCGCACATATAAACTACACCAAACTAACGCCCACTTCCGCCAAACAAAGAATGAACACAAGAAAAATCGTCGCCGAAACGCTGGCGGTGAGTTTCTGTTTCTTTTTCATTTTCGTTTAAAATTGTATTAGCAGCAGCGTGGCAATTGATACTCGGCAACGCCTTCTTGCTCAGGACATGAACACCGTTGAATGCCTGCAGCGTGACTTGGATTTAACGAGCGTGCCACTTGCAATCACCACATGCAACTGCAGAATGTGAAGCAGTGAAGCATTCCTACATTCCACACAAAAGGAAAGTGGGAGCGTGGAAAGAATTATTGAACTGGTTTGTATAAGCCGTAAGCGTAAGGATCAAGGAAATCTACTTTACAAGCTGATCGTATCGTATTTGTTTTGTGCTGCCTGCGCGTGAAACAAAAATTGAAAAATAACAAAAGAAATGAGGGTTTAACGAGAATGGGAAAAAAGCAAATGGAGCAAAACGAAAATATTAAAATACAAAATCAATGAAAAGCTTCCACGTCTTTGTAGAAATGTGTGCATGTCTGTCCTGAAATGTGTGAGGATTTTCTACTATGGAAATGAGGCAGCAATTTGCGGATATGCGGCATTAAAAACAAAAAAATATATATATAAACGCTGAACTCAAGAAATGCGGAGTGTTAAGGTGTTGAGCAGCTATATTTTTTTTCGCCAGACGCTATTTATAATTGTATGGCCGAAAATTGAATTACTCACAGGAATAGAGCACAAGCCGTACGAACGGCAAGACACACTCGGCTATCACTGATTAAAGATATTGAATATGCGAGCAAATGAAAAAAAGACACTTCAAAACTTTTCGGGCTATTTATGAATATCATTGATATTGTTAGCTTAAATGAAAAAAAATATAAAATTTGAGAATAATTAGCCCCAACTTCGTTTTTCGTTTGCAGGTCCTTTCGGAAGAGACATCTGGCGGTCGCCTTAAATTCAAAACTATCAAATCAGAAGAAACTAAATCAATACTACTCATAAATGATGCTGATTTACTAGATTCTGGCAAGTATTCCTGTTACCCATCGAATACGGAAATAGCTAGCCTGCGTGTTCATGTGTTGCAAGGTATGTAAGATGATGTTTCAAGCCTACGAAACCAAAAGAATAAGCAATCGTATCGATATTATACTCTTTGTGTTTTATTACTCACTCTAGTAATTTAATAATTTTTTCCATTTTATATAATTTAATTTTATTTAGTTTTATTTTTATTTTATTTTATTTTATTTTATTTTAATTTATTTTATTTTATTTTATTTTATTTTATTTTATCTTATTTTATTTTATTTTATTTTATTTTCTTTTATTTTATTTTCTTTTTTTTTATTTTATTTTCTTTTTTTTTATTTTATTTTATATTATTTTAGTTTATTTTATTTTATTTTACTTTATTCAATTTTATTTATATTACTTTATTCAATTTAATTTAAATTGTTCTAATTTTATTTTATTTTTTATGTTTAATCTGGTTTTCTAGGTACAAGACAAAATATTTTAAAATATTTCTCTCCTTATATATTACACAGGCGAGCGACCAGAAGCAATGCAAACGAATTCAGCGCCCACCGCCCGACACAGCGCCGCCGCCCAACCTACCAAACTAATCAGCGCGATAGTTGGTGCATTTGTTTTATTGCAAATATTAACGGTACTCTGTAAGAATGCCGGCAATCTAACGGAACACGAAAAAATCAATGATCAAAGTAAATGTATTCAGCATCAAGCGATGGTGGCATGCAACAACAGCAATGGTCACAGTAGTTGTACAGCAAAACAAAGTCAGCCGCACAATCAGCAACAACGACCACAGTGTGTACAACAAAATCAACAGCAACCGTTTGCACGCAGTATTGTGACTTTGCTTGCATTGGCGTTATTGCAATGCAACAATGTGACAGCTGTTGACAGACAGTGTGGCGTTGTGCCCTCAACCGCACAGCTGACGTATTGCAGCCCACAACAACAACGACGGCGGCAAGAACAACAGCTATGCAAAGCGCAAACAGTCAGCTCTGGCATCGCCAGCGTCAAATCGGCATCGTCTGCGCGGTGATAAACTAATCAGTTCTAACTGCCACACGAGAGCCAAGTACTGCGCTGCTGGATGGAGGTCTTGGATGGCTGACTGTTGAGCGCTGGGCGCGCACAGGGTGGGAGAGACCACAATTCTCGCACAAAGCGGGTGTGTGTCACTCTTATCACCTTCCCATACAAATATATGTTTGTTTTTGTATGAGTGTGTGTGTATGTGTGTTAATAATGTTGACGAGGAAAAGAGCCGAAGGACCGCTCTAAGGACTCTAAAGAATTCAAGTAGTGCAATTTATATAAAACTTTGGTCGGCTAGTTGCAAAGTAATAATTTTTACGAGCACATTTTAATAAGTATGCCCAAAGTAAGTAAGGATACGCAAAAGCATAAACAAAATATATAGTGACTAAGAATTTAGAGTAAGAAGAAAATAATTACCCAGTAACTAAGTACATACATAGAATATATTGCAAGTGAATAAGTGAAAATAGTATATCTATAACGGGTATAAAATACCTTTAGATAAATTTATGTAAACTTGATGTATTATTTAAAGTTTCAAAGTTGTATAGAATTAATTGGAAAAAGAGCAAAAACCAGACAAAAATTCGGAATAATAAATGCGAAAACAATTAAAATTAAATTATTATAAAAAAGAGGAAAAGTAAGAGTAAAAAGAAAATGTATAATTGATCTAAATAAATATGTATTTGAGTATAATTAAACAATTTATTTGACTTGTGTGGTTGTATTGAATTATTAACAATTTTGATAGAACTAAGTTATTCTTAATGAATGTATATTTCTGTCCAAAAAAAAAATTTTTATGTCAAACAATCTATTTTTGAAAATGAATAATTTTAAGAATTTTTTTAAGGAAAAGATCAGATCAGACACTATTTATACCAGTTTATAGCTTTTCTCGATTAAAACAAAAAAAATGGTTTATAGATATGGATACACGTATTCATGTTAGTTTTATAATAAAATCAACAGTTTTGTTTTAACACTAACAACTGCTGTAAATATTTTTAAAGATGTTACCCTTTACCGTTGCCTAATAAAAATAGAATAAAAATAAGTTTCCTCAACAAAAAGGTTTTAAGTATTATTAAACTTTTTCGTATTCCTAATTAAATTTTCGGTGCTTCATATCAAAAATATTTTTGAACATCTGTTTTCTTGCTGTATAAGCTGATTGATTGCATCATGGTGGCAATTTTAAAGCAAGTTGCCACGAAAAAAAGTTGTTCGAAAAAAAGTTTTAAACTGACATTGAAGAATCTCTTGACATTCAATTAAATTAACCTATTTTAAAGTTTATTTTACATACATATTTCAGCTTGTCAGTATTTTCGTTTTAATATTCTTATGTATGGTTAAATTGAAATACCTGACCCCCACTGGACAAACAATACAATCCTGTGTAATTAAAGTACACACATATAAATCAGATTTGTTAAAATGCAAAGAAAGTTTTTTGGAATTAGTTACTAAAATATCTTGTAAATATGTATCTATTGATTTTTACTTAAAATTAGAAAATATAAGTTTTTCATGTAGTCAAAATTATGTATAAATACAATGTAAATGGAAAAAAATATTAAAAGAATTGGTAGAGGAAAATTATTGCGAAACTTGTCTGATATGTGCATGCATCAAACCTACTAATGCATAGGCGATAAGCAATTTATTCCTAACGAAAAAAAAATATATATTATAATAAATACTATTTAAAATAACAAAGAAATATTTGTAATTAAAATTTCCTAAATATGTAAGCATGTATGTAACTATTATTAAGCATAGTTGTTAAACTTTTTATTTATAAATATGTTAAATTAATAAAAAAGATACAAATAGAGAGTGACAGAAACAAGTTGTAAATCCAAAAATATTATACATAAATGATATAACTGTAAATGTCTCTTTTAGTTATAATTAATAAATAATAAGAACAACTATAATGATGAATTCAAATAAAAATTTAATCAATAAAAAAAGAAAAGTTTTTCATTTATATCTTTTAATGGCAGATAAACAGGGAAGTAATTAACCTAATGAATCAATTAAAATACAAGTAAAATATTTAAAAAGTGGGTAGCATCAGCCTTACGAAAGGATGTTTTCATTTGACTAATTTTCCTATCAGTTGGCTATTGCTTTACTAAACAAAATTGAACTTGAATGGTGAGAATTTTAAATCTAACACAACTTTGCAAAAAGCAATATAGGGCTTAACTGGCTTCATAGTAATCAACAAAGCTTTCATTACGCTTTCAAAAATTCCGGTCTCATATTTCCTAACCTGAATGGTTAGAAAATCAAAGTTCGTTGAAAATAACTGGAAACGAAATACTATGAAACTAAACTATTAAAATATATTTTCTACAGTATTATAATCACAATATTTATCACAAATAATAGTTACTGCTTTAAATAGAAAAAAAGTCACGCGACTGTTTTTCGTTCATACATTCACCCCACACACACTGCATATGGCTTTGTACGAATGCATTCACACTTCAAATGAGCGAAAAGCGCTTTTCTCTATGGAATTTTCAAGTTTCACAAGCAAAACGATAATTTAACTATTAGAAATTTTCTATTTTAGTTTAAAATAATAATGATACTGCATAACGAGAAACACGAATTGTAAATAACAAAATGAAAGTAATCCTTTCCTGCCAAGTTGCAAAAAATATTTTTTTATCATGAAAATTCTGATCCATAAATATATAAATACGTATATCAATAGAAAAACAATTAAAGCAACTTTGTTAAAATACTAAAAAACAATCTGAAAATGATGTGAGATATAAACAAATATATATAAAATAAAAAAAAGATAAAGTTTTACAAAATTAAACCATAATAAGAAAATTAATAACACTGAATAAAACTGAATAAGCCGAAAGGAAATAAACCAAAATAAAGTAAAATAAAATAATAAAATAATACAAAATAAAATAAAGTAAAATACAACTTAGTTTTAAGTCAGGTAAAAACTACTAAAAACTTATAAATATGTTAAAGTAAACAAAATAAACAACAAAACTCAGTTAAATAACAGATCTGAGCGGCTACGACAAAATTATCATTAAAATGTTGCATTGCATCTATCCTTATCTTTCCAGCATTGACGAATTACGGACCATGTTTAATAAACAGATTAATGTCCATGAAAAGTATAAAAATTGTATTAGTTAAAATAGAATTAAACGAAACAATTTAATCGAACAAATAAAAGATAAAAATATTAAACATTTATTGAAAAATTTAAACAAAGCAAAATAGAGGTTTAACTAAATAAATTGATTTGAATAAGGTTTATGAACCTGAAATTAAAGGAAATTAAATAAACTTAATTCAGATTTAAGATATAAGGAAAAGTAAAACCAATGTAATTTAAATTAAAAAGTTCACCCAAATTAATTTTAACCAAACAAATGCAATTTTACTAAATATATAAGTAAAAAAAGTTAAAAATTAAATAAAAATAAACATAAAATTAAAATTAAATTAAAAATAAACTGAAATAAATAAATTATATAATATAAAATTAAATTAAATTAAATAAAATGAAATAAAGTAAAAAAAATTAAATTAAATTAAATTAAACATAATGTAATAAAATTAAATTAAATTATATTAAATACCAAATCAAACATAATAAAATATAAGTAAATTAAATTAAAGAAGATCAAAATAAATAAAATGAATTAAAACAAAATATAATATATTAGAATATAAAACAATAAAGTAAAGTAAAATCAAATAAAATTAAATAAAAGAAAATAAAAAAATAAATTAATATAGAATTAAATTAAATTAAAATAAATTAAGTTAAATTAAATAAGAATATATAAAATAAATTAAATTGAAATAAAATAAAACAAATAAAAAAATATAATTAAAATAAAAAACAGAATAAGGTAAAAGAAAATAAATTAAGAAAATGAATCAAATGAATTTAAAAAACTAAAACAGATGATTAAAATAAAATAAAACAGAAAAAAAAAACAAAATAAATTAAAATGAATTTAATAAAATAAGACAAAGCAAAACAAACAAAAACCAAATTAAATGAAAAGATTTAAAAAAAATCTAAGAATTAAAACAAAGTAAGATGAAAAAATAGATAAAATTACATTAACAGAATAGGAAGTATTAAGAGAATATGAAATTAGGCTTGAAGGGAAGAAATACCAGTCAAAGGAGAAAAGACAAAATTTTTTAGAAGGTGCATATAAGCCGCAAATAAAAGAAGAATGTAACGACTTGGGCAATTTATTTTGTTTTATTGTAATTTTATTTTATTTATTTACATGCTTATTTAAAAACGCTATATTTACTACTGTTTCCCACCAGTTTATAATGTGTTTAATATATAATATTAATTGAATAAAAGTATTACATTAGAAGTGAACCTCCATGGTCCTTTGAAGATTAAAAATCGGTTGCCTAAAAATTCTGACGAGCTACAGTAAAACGCCACCAACCACTATCGTACTGTGTGCAAAAAAAGTATACATAAGGAAAAGTGAAACACTATCACACTGTAGCAAGAACGTCAATCAAAAATTCAAAATAAACATTGTTTGAATCGTACATAACTATATCCCTTACAGTGGTATTCTGTAATTTGTATCAATCCGATTTGAAACTTGCGAGACAAACAACAACTAGTATTTCCTTTTTATTAAAATGAAGAAAACGTGACATGCATATAATGGTATCCATTGGGGATGACATAAGTTTATTCAAGAGTTTTGGGGCTCACGTCAATAGCATCCAGTAAAAAAAAAATGCGCTTTTATAGAGTTAAAACTGAAAAAAAAAAACACATAAAAGTCATATTCCTACTTGTTTCTTCAACTAAATCAGAAACTAATCTGTGTATACAGATTCCGAAATTCAATTACATTTAACTCTAAAAGAACTTTGACTTCTCGAAGCAAACTTCTGTCAGATGATGAAGTGTACGATATGTGCGCTTCTTGGCATAAAACGTATGTCATATATACAAAAGCCAGTAATGTTCATTATTTTGTATTCATTTTTATACAACTTAGGTAATTTTCAAATCTACTTTACTTTACTTTACTTTCGCCTTAATAAAATATCAATATTTTGCCGATGGCATTAACAACTTCAAAATATTTTCCGCTTTGTTAGCGATTTATCGAGTAGTTTACTAGAACAGCTTATCAAGCGATAGCGAATATCGTTAAAATAAGCATAACGAATATTGAAGTCGTTAAAATTATCGTTAAGTTATTTTAACGATTCGAAAAACGTTGCGATAAATAAGAGATTCCCACCAATGGTATTATTGTTTTTACAAACAGAATTTAATTTTACAAAATTATGGCTAGTTAGTGGGTCTATGAATGCAAAAGTTTAGAAATTTACATTTTCGTTTAGGTAAGGGTATTCTCTCCCAGTTGGATGAGGAAGATATCCTTTTATACTTGAAGAAACTGAGGTACTCTGTGTAGGGAAAATATTAATAATGTCGAAATTCCATAAAAAAAATTTTAATAACTCTGCTAGGATATGGTTATTGTAATGTTGATATACTCGTATGACTCACTAAAATTTCTTGAGCATTCATCAATTCCCTATGAATTGTTGTTTGTAATGATAAGCAAGTTAAAATGTACCACCAGAGGTTGTCAAACTTTATTTTCAAAAATAAATACAAATATCATAAAAATTATTATAGCGGCAACAATTACCAATATCAATTTGTTGGTACTCAAATTGGTTTCGGAGCGATAAGCGCTCTCACATACCGGCACACAATTACTCTCACATAAATATGTACATACCGACATGACTACCCTGCAGTGAAAATATAGGCTGGTAAACCAAATTTTAAAGACGATCTCTTATTTCTAGCCGTTCACCCGAAACGGGAATAATAATAATAAATTAATAATAATTTTTAACAATCCCCCTTTGCATACGGCTTTTGCTTCTAGCCTCCATTGGTGAGATTCATTTTCTAATACTCTCTGTTGAAGTGCACCATATGCGAGTGCTAGCGGTTAAAGGTTGACAATGCAGTACGTAAGGTTTACAGTTCGAAGCTCGAATCTATCTTAAATTTTCCTGAAGTAAAAATTTAGCACGTTTCCTATGTTACGGAAGGCATCTTCATGTTAAAAATTCCAGTTCCTAAAATAGCAAAGGATGGAAGATGAACCAGTTTATTTAAAATGCAAGCTAATTGTATTCTAGTTGGAATTTTTCCCTGCTGGTCGTGCATTCGTCAGATGATATATATACATAGATAGATATACACACATGTTTACTTAGTAAATTTTTATTTTGTATATTCAGTAATATCGCGGCTAAACAAGAAACCGGTTGCAGCTGCGGTTGGAATTTATTCTCGTATACATTTTTTCCTTATTTAGAAAAATTAAATAATTAAAATTTTACATACCCAAAACGTAATGGAAGAACGTAGTGCATATCCGCCTGCGCGGCCAGTAACATTCGCCCCACAGCAACAGCCCTACGCCCAACCCAACTATGGTACTATGAATAGCGACGATGAACTGCCTCCACAACATTTCATGGTGTACGCGGAAGACGATACAGAACCTCCCACATATCCACCAATAAATGGTGATCCACAGGAGCAGGGGTGGTTCGCACGCATGCAGATAAATAAACCGCAATCGAACTCTGCGGGTGCAGGTACGGTATAAAATAAAAATTATTTTTGTCAAGTAAAACGGTTCAGAGCAAAACATGACGTCGCTGTTAAAGCTTTTGAAAAAGAAACAAGAGAAATTGTAATTTCTTAAAATGTGCAAAATAGTATAGTTAGGAAATACACAGTTAGCAGTGTGATTTTTATGAAATAAAAAATTTTAATTATGAGGTAATTAAAAAAAAAATTTTTTTATATTCCCCTTGTGGTGGTAAAAAGTATTTATGATCAATGCCCGTGCAACAATAAAAATAAATATAAATATTATTTGAGTAAAATCAAATTTCTTTTCAAGTCATCAATGTTTAATTTATCAAAAGCTTAAGATCGTTGGATGAAAGATTCAACAAAACTTACGATTGAACTGCTGCAAAGGAAAAACTCTCATTATTTATTTTTGTCTCGTGCGAATGTGCGCACAGATGAGTGAGAATAAGCCAAAGTAATTATGTGTGTAATTTTTTGTTTATAAAACTAGTGCTAAGTAACCGCTGAAGCAAATTTCGGTTGTTTAAAAAAAAGTTGTTTCCAGAGCAGATTTAAAAATAGCTTCCCACCCCTAACCAAAGCTTTTGCTATTGTTGTTGTTGTTGGGCTCACTGTAGGTTCTCTTGTTCGGTAATCTTTCCCGCTACTTGTAATTCGATTTGTTTTTGCTTCTATCGCAAAATCAAAGCGTCAGCATTTTGAAAGTAGCTGATGTGTGCGTTTTGATTTAATTTCTGAGCGTTTGATGATTTTGTTATATTGCAGTTGGTTAAATTGCTCATGCGGAATTACATTATGACTAGGCGTAGAAAAAAATTTATAATTGAATATAATTAAAATAGCAGAACGCATGTATCCAGATAAGCGGAAAAAATTAATAATTTCAACCAAATTTTATTCTTTCTTTAACACGAATTTATTTTCTACAATTATTATTAAATATAAATTATTTTAGTTTCCAAAAAATTATATGATTCTAAATTAATTTTATGATTATAAAATTCTAGTTATAACTAAGAATTAAAAACATTTATACACAAAATCAATTGAATATTATAAAGCGCTACAATTTCATTATAAATAAATTAAATAATTATAGTTTTTAAAATAACGTGTTTTTTAATATTTTTTAAGAGTTTTCAAATATTCATATTTTAGTTATAAAAAAAAAATTAAAAAATAAAAACTAAACTTACCATAAAACTTGCTAATGGCGAACTCCAATCGTTTGTACCTCGCCTGTATGCATATCTATATGACGTTGATACTGTTGACAAAATTTTCTTATCTTATGCAATGGTTAATTTCAAAAGGGGTGATATTCAGCTACAAAGAAAAAGTTATTTTTGCTGCCATGACCACTTGAAAGAAATTGAATCAAAATTTACGAAAATATATTTTCATATACGTTACTTAATCGTGCATAAAGATGTGTTGAGAAAATTATCTCGGGCAAACCAAAACTCCCTCATTAATCAATAAATTTGACCGATTAAATGCAATATTCACATATATTCTTACTTATGATATATATGTATGTAGATAAGCCCACTTAGAAACACTAAAAGGAATGTCAAATAATTGAAAAAACATGAAAATAAATAAATAATAAATTATGCAAAAAACTGCCACCTCAAGGTATGTTTAACAAAATACCAAGGAATTAATTTATATTTTTTTTATTGCTATTAAAAAGCATGATCTCAAAATTGGTACAGAGTGCTCCACCTTTTATGTTGTATGTAAACATTAAATAATTTTGAGAAAAAACAACCGATTACTATAAGTTATATATTTTTATTCAGTTTGGTTCCTTAAAATTTTTTGGATTAGTTTTCGAAAAAAAAATATAACAATTAAGTGTCTACCTTTTTTAGCAATTATAAAACGACTCATTTTTCCGAGCATCTCGGCAGTCATATCGTCGTTTTTAGCACGAATGTTCGCCTTGAGCTCATCACTAGATTGAGGCTGGTTGGCGTAAACGTTGCTTTTCAATCAGGTGATCTGTCAGATGTTGCCTTTGCTGCGATATTTTTTCCGATGGAACGTCTGTTTTCGATGTAAAGTGTCCGTATTTCAGCGCGTTGTTTCGATGTGAAGCGATCCATGGCGAAAATTGTACAGAATTGACGTTTCCAAAACATATCTGATGCAATCGCTCGGTTGGTTAATGTTAAAGTTATTTAGAATTGATATCACGACCCTACCATACTTTTAAACGATATGGACATCCATGCCGTGTCTCACGCAACCACCGTGTACATGGAAATCAGAGAAGGAAATAAAAAACAAATCCCTAGTCAATTGATCAAAATCAGATGAAAATGAAGCACTGCCACTCATTTTAGAATATTAAAAATAACTTTTTTTATATATATATTTTGATGGTACCAAAATTTATATTTGTTTTGAAATTAAGTTTTTTACTGTTGCACGGGACATTTTTATTGCATGAGCAAATTTTAGCCTCATATGATACAAAATTCTAGAATGTAAATCAAATACTTTTATATTTTTATAACCACAATTTCTCGATTTTAGCTGCATTAGTTTTAATGACCGGCGGAATGAACATTGCCTGGAGTGCTGGATTTGGGCAGGTAAAAGGCTTCTTACCGGACACTCATATACTGATCTGTTGGTATATTGCGGCGATGATTGGCGCTTTAGTCTCAGCATTTATCACTAATCACATTACCCGGAGGCCTATATATGTAAGCAGATTAAATAAATATAAATATGATTTGATTCACATTTAATTTAATTTATACGTGAATCCCCCAAATAAATTTTATTTTCTCTCTCTTCTCTGCAGCTATTTGCCAGCTTCTTGGTGTTCATTGGTGGCATACTACTCGTTGCATTGCCGAATGAGCATCGTGCAATCGCTGCTGCGCGTTACATAAATGGTTTTGCCGTGGGTCTTGTGATCGTGCCGATGATGGTGCTCATTGGTGAGGAGGTGGTGCCACGTAATCGTGGCGTATCCGCTGCTTTGTTAGAAACTGGTAGCTTCGCATTTGGTATCTTTCTGCAAATTATTTTCTTCGTCTCATACTCAACATCCTCATTCAGCCCCATGAGGCTGCATGGTATTATTGCTATAATTTACGCTTTGCTCACTTGTCTCTTTTCGTACTTCCTGGTCGTCGAATCGCCTGTCTATCATCTACAACGTAACAATGAGCACGCGGCCTTGGATTGCTTACGTCGTCTACAGCGTCCTTGCACTGTTACACAAGAATCATATCAGCTATTGGAAGAGCACAAGCGTTATATTTCAGAAAGTGACTCCAGCGAGCAGGGATTGCCGGCATTGGCGAAGCTTTGTTTCTACCGCGGGTTGGTTGCGCTCTCATTCTCTCCGGTTGTTACTTTAGGACTGATGACATCAGCTGTAATAAGCGAAGGTGTGAATGCTACATGGCCTCTGGTAGTCTTCGGAATATTCATATTGTTAGGCGCTTATGTTGCTGGCTTTGTGATGGACATGGTGGGTCGCAAGATAATTCTGCTGTCAGGTGCCCTAATTTGCGGTGTCGTGGCCATCACCATTGGCGGAATTTGCAATGACTTAATAAATTTGCTTTTCTCATCTAAAATGTCTTCGGTGTTGTATATGCTTTTCGCGCTGCAATTTTTTGCTGGCTTCTTCAATAGTTCTGCTTCAGCGTATATGACGGAAGCGTTCCCACTACATCGCAAGACCTATTATATTGCGGCTTCATTCAACGTGCAAATGTTGGTATGGCTCATAGTCAACGCTTGCAACATTGATCCACAAAGTCTTGGCCCCTACTTTATTACTTTTGGCGTATTTTATGTGGTATTCTTCGCAATAAGCTTCCTCGTATTCCCAGAAACCAAGCATGCTACTCTGCGTGAGGCTCAGCAAAAATTCAGAGGCATTTTAAATGGCTGGTAGTAAATAAGGTATACAAGTCTATATAATATATATTTACTCCCGTAACATTAATTTTTGTCTAATTTACTACACTAGCACATATTGAACCTTAAATAAAAAATAGGAATTAAATAAATTATTGAAAGTCATATTCGCTATTTTTCGAAAGTAAAAGTAACTGCAAAACCCTTTTGTTTAACTGATTGTGAAAAGGCAATAATGACATCTTCAAAAGTTCCTCTATTTGCATATTTTTGAGATATTTTTGCTCCAACTGAAGTAGTTTTCATTGTTTTAATAAGATTTAGATTTAATTTTGTTTGTTAAAAAATAGTTTTACTTAAATCGTTATTATTTTATGTTAAAAAATCAACAAAAACCTACATGATAGTGTTTTGACAAGTAGTGAAGTAATCGAAAATTTGATAATAAAATTTTTGTAAAACATATGTAAAACTTTAACACTATATTTTGAGAAGTATGGGTATGGGTATGACATACGTGTATGTAATTACAACATGTATTCACTGGATATCATTCACCCGATCATGCCATGAGTTTGCCAGCGACTTCTTTCGAATGCAATTTTAAGACAGTTCTAAAAGGATTTATTTCGTTTATTACATTTATAATTGCATTATAACCTATGAACTGATATATACATAAAATATATATATTTAACATATTAAGCAATGATGAACCATCAAATCGATCTCTGGTTCGTTTTCCGGTAGAAAAGGCTTTTCCAGCGGTAATTTGCGCACAAAGCTACTATTTTAGCGATTTTAATGTGAATCAAATGATAAAGAAAGATTTCGTAGATCGGTCTCAGGTCCATATCCCGGAAGAAAAAATGGCACCGAAATTAATTTAGACAAAGAAACACTTTGTGTACCAAATTTTATGTAAATCAAACGAAACACGATCTTTTGGAACACTCTCAAAACCAATTTCTTGAAAATAGTCTTTCATCGGATGCCTACATCATACACAGAACAGATTCTCATAATTTCTAGTCTCTACAATCAATGGTTTCGGTTGTGGGTATATTCGTCGATAGATTAACGTTCCCTTTCTACGCAACTTATATATGAGTAACATAATTTAATGCCATATTTTAAATAATTGATGTATTATTTTTTGCGTGTTGAGCGTACATAAATATAAAACAAATATTTTTGGTACTTTATTTTGTGAATTATCGAACCAGTTTTGCACATAAAACCTACATAAAATCAGTAGTTCAATTTAGCTCGTCAATGTTTATTTAACTGTCCAAATATGAAAGTTTAAAGTATTTGTATGTTTGCGCGACATCTGTTGGAATCGGCAAAATAGAGTTTGAAAAGCTTTCTTATCCAAGTCCAAAACCAAACATTATTACAAATAGTTTTATAAATATTATTAAAACAGAGACTCATAATAATGAAAATCAAAATCAAATACGTTCAACATACATATCTCACCCGTTCATGGAGTACTACTCTCTTCTATTGAAAGAGCGAGAAACTCCGTTCTACAAAAATTACGTGTGAGTGAGAAAAACGCATTGGGCGATTTATACAAAAAAGTATGCGTAGACTTAGGCTGCAACTACCCAACGAGCGTACCAGCCGTCCATAAGTGGCGACGTCGAGGCGAGATAAACACACGACTTATCGACGTCGCTGAGAGCGGCGAAATGTTGCCAGCTGCCTGTGTGTTTGCACACTTTTGAACAAATTCATAATTTTCGTCAACGAATTTCATAATTTATTTGCTTTAACATAAACACAAGGCAAATATACATGATCTATATAGTAACAAATAATTAGTTACGCATTTAGTTTTCATTTCTTTTGAACAAAACTACGCATTATCTTCGATTATTTAATGTTACTTTAAGAAAGGCTATACTGGCAACCTTGTATAGCAACGAAAAATGAGCCGAGCCGGTTTTACGGAAAAATCAAAACTTCGTTGGTTTCTGCGACACAAACGTCAGCAACGCTATGGTAAATCGGTGACAACTTTGTGTTTACATGGTGCTCTCATAAGATAGGTTACTATGGACGGCTGGTACGCTCGTTGGGTAGTTGCAGCCTTAGATATTTTAAAGCAAAGTTCTTCTCTGCCCGCGACTGTCCCTCTGTCTACATGCAATAACCTCAAAAGCTACTCAAGGGATTTTTATCTGGCTTTTGCCGTTAAATGAAGTGATGCCGCCCAGTGGTTTATATAAAAATTTTGTTCAGTTTTTGTACTTTTTTTACAAATCTATATATACATATACAATTTTCAAGAATTGGTGCTTTATAACCGCCGAAGCGATTTTGGGCCGAGCTTCTCCTCCAATTTGTGGTTTTGTGTCTTGACGTTTTTCCAATACAGTTCATACTAAGTCGCCGCGGGATGGCTCATGGTTTTTTATGAAGAGTTTTATTTCATGTCAGAAATACACTCGGAGGAGTTGAAATTCTCTCCCGAGGGGCGAACGCAATTATAAAATTTAAATTAATTTATTGTTCAATTGTTGGCGAGCCAAGGAGCTCGGATAAATAAGATGCAATGTGAGATGGCTCTACAAATCAGTGTTTCAAATGTAATGCGGCGATCTGCTGGAGGAAATACAAAAAGGATTAAGAGGGAGTAATGAAAAAATTTCAATGGCAAATTGGAAGAGAAACCAGGATTGGCTCGCATCAGAATCACCCGACTGTGGATGTAGTGAAGAATCAGTGAAAGACCTGCTCGAAGTATACTTTCGCGTCGAAACATACTTTAATCTAGAAATTTTAAGGGATAATTTGGGGTACGTTCCAGCATTCAAATCGAAAGCGAAGAAGAAGTCCTGCCCATTAGATTGAATACAGAAGCATTAGTTTAACCTTGTACCTTCTGAAAACCCATCAGATAATCTGGACGCAGCCATTAGAGAAGATCTCAGTATCTAGTAAAATATCTAAAGAGCGAAACGCATATACTCGTACAACGGGCAGATTTACTGCCAATTGAGACTATGATGTGGATATATATGGATTAAAAACCTACGGCTGTAGGCGAATAAAGACAGATTGAAATGAGCACCGACTTATTAGGCTATTGCCTTTAATCACATGAAAACGTGCTAGGTCCTACATGGCGCCTATCGCCTAACGCTACACTGCTGGGACCAAGTCCTTCCTCCCTACGAACTACTTTTGCAACAGAATATAATATAATATTAACAACACAAACATTGCAAAGTATCAATTAAATGACTTTGTGTCTTATGTGAAAAGAATGTCGTGTGCTCCTTAGAAGTAGATATAGCCAAAGCGACACTATTACTTTTATATCTTTCATGATATCTAGGGATGCATTAGTTCAATTTTAGATTGTTAGTGAAGGCGATGTTGTAATGTGTTCTTAAAAATGTCATCCAATGCCATGCAGCAAGATAGTTTACCAAGTAAATTCATTAAAATTATAGTGCTTTGCACTCTTTGGACACTAATTATACATTGTATTACCACGTCTTACTTCCCTGAGCAGTGGTGAATGAGCATTATATTACTTGTCACAAAAAGATATATTCTTTTAATCCATCCGATTTTTTACCCATAAGTGCAGGGACGATGCACTGTCTAGAGGTTTTGAGGTACTTATGACAAAACAAATAAATATGACATGGTCAACCATGAGTTAGGTTTCGTGCTTTAAGGCTTGTGAAAATCTATTTGGTCGACTAGTTTCAGCTAGTAAAAATCGAGGACGACACAACGTAACTCTAATTGGTTACTACGCTCGTTCTTAGATCCATTACTATTCAGCTTATTTATTAATTATATTTTTGTATGCACACATTTTCTAAGTTGTGTGGGTATCGTCATGGCATTCAGATATATTTATCTGGAACTTTTGATTGAGCAAATCAACCCTAAAAACATTATAACTCCCAGGGTAGCCGACGTTGGCTTGCTATGCAAATTGTTCTTCCAGTTACTGTGTACCCTGAAGGCATACACAGTGTACATAACAGTGCGTCTGCTCATATTTCCGACTGCCATTATGCTGCAATTTCCTACCTATCTTTATTTCAAGTTATCTGTTTCTTGATCCGAGTAGGTAACATTATAATATACACATATATATAATTTTCAATTTATACTAAGGCGCCTCCGACGAGGGACCGGAATCAGAAATTTCGTTTTTTTTTAATTTTTTTTCTTTTTTTTTTTTTTTGGGTGTTGGAACGACAGCAGAGTTTTAACCAGAGTCTTCCGAATGGTAATACGCAATGCTAACCACACGGCTGCCGCCGACTGTGACTCAGGAATCACATATAAATTTAACTGAGAGTGATCAATTCTTTTTTTTTTTCATATATTTGCTTTTCAGTACAGTAATATTTGGTTGTTGATGTATCGTTAAATATAATAATCCATTATTTTCTACACTATTACCGTTGTTCCAATGAAGATATGGCCATTTTATTTTACTAATGCTTTTTTTTTTAATAAATTAGAAAAACCGCTGTGCCTTTCAATGCTCAAAAACTAATTCGATGGACACTTTTTTCTTTGTCAGAGATTTTTTTAATCTGAAATTTTAACAGCGATTAACTTTCAAAAGCTTTCTACTAAATTTGAATAGTTTAATATGTAGCTACAACAACAATACTGAAATTCAGCAACTCTTTTCATTTATTACTGATAACGGAATAAAAAATGTATATTTTCCCCCTACAACTGAATAAGTAGCATGTATGCATATATATTATATATATATTTATACAGCTGTTGACAACTAATTAGAAACCGCCCCCTTCTGTAAGTGCTCGTTGATCATGATTGTAAAATTTGCGAATATACCGTTATATTTTCTTAAAAAAGACACTTGCATTGTTTTTGTTACTCCATTTACTACTCAATGCCATCAGACTTATAGTCCTGCGTGCACTGGTGTAAAGTAAATAAAGTGGAGACAGTAAATAAGAACGAATGTCCAAAAGTAACATATTTATAACGATTTGGTGCTTTGGCAATAATTTTTGGCAAAAAAAAAATCAATAAAAATTTGTATCTCAAGATTTGTAATGGCATAAAGCAGCAGCTGTACACCTGCATTACACAGCTCCATTTTTGGCCTTTGTAGAGCCGGAAAGTCATACAGCCAAATTGCGGAGCAAGTCAAATGCTCCAAAGAGATGATTTTTAATGGCTTAGTGCATATCCAGAAATGTTGCAAATGTCGCACGCGATAAAAGGCTCCGGAGAACTTCAGCAGGAATAGACCACAGGATGGCCGTAATATCGCGAAGAGACCTAAAAAAGAGTTCCTCGGACATTCAACGTGAAATTGAGGATTAATTCACTGTTCAAATGTCGAAGAGAATAATTGCACGGCGTTTGGTCGAATCTGGACTTCATGGAAAAGCAGCACGCAAGAAACCGCTTCTGTCCAAAAACCAAGGCAAACGAAGTGTGCCCATTCTCATGGGTGTTGGACGACCAGTCGATGTATGTCGTTGAGTCATCGCATGTGCCCTGTTGGTCGGAGGTATGTTCGACGGTCCATTAACTAATAATTTAATCTTCGTTATGTTTCACGCGTATTGAAGCATACTGAAGGACCAATCATGATATGGAGATGTTTTTCCTTTAATGGTGATGGTCCCCTCTATAGGATAAATGGAATTTTAAATAAGAAGAAATACATCGTCATACAAATGTCATGTAGCCTTGGGCTGTGGAGAATTTGTCTGTGATATGAGAAATTCAACAGGATAACGATGCAAATTTTTTGACGAAAATTCCATCAAAGTTTTAGAATGGCCATCATCCAGTCCAGAATTGAACCCTCTGGGGGAACGTTAAAAGAGTCTTTGGTACTAACAATATCACAAAAATGGATGACCTTTTTGTGGAAGTGGCGCGCTGTCGAAATCTTATAACATCAATGCGAAATCGGTCTGAGGAAGTGTTGAAGCAGAAGTGTTATACAACCAAATACTAACTAATAGTAATATTAGTAATATTATCTTAACTCAATTTTTATTCTTAAATATTTATAAACATGAATTTTGAATAAATTGCTTAGAATATTATTTGAAGTTTTGTATATGTTTAAATAAAATTAGAAAACAAATAACGAAAACTCGTGCTTTAATGGACAAAAAATCATTGAATTTAAAAGAAGCATCGTTTCTAATCAGCTGTCAAGCGCTGTAAAGCTAATATAATATCAATCAAAACCTTTGTTTTCTCTCTTTGCTGCAAAAAAATATTGTTTATTTTGTTATTATTGATAACAAATTGACTACTTAACAGCGTGCAACGCATACATACATATATATGTATATGCACATATTTGCTTACGCATCTGCAATGCTTAGACACATCCCGCAACGTCAGGTGTTATCTCCGATATTTAGCTAATTTTATCCACTTCAGACAAATTGGTTTATTTAATTAGAATAAATTGAAAATAAAATACTGTATTCCAAGTTAATTTATATTGACGCCGACTGCTATATGCGTGTATGCATGTGTTTGACAGGTTGCCATATTTAATGGTTTTTGAGATTAGCAGAAGAGGAAGCATTAGCTACATGAAGTTTTTGGTGTTGAAGTTGGGGCAGAAGACACTCGTCACCCTCAAAAACCCTTCTCAATTTACTTCCCCCAGATCGGTAAGTACAACTTTAAGACAACTGCAAAGCATCTAGACTGAAAACAAATAAACTTCAAATGCTGACAAACTTTTTCTCGGAATGAATGGAGAAAATACGAACGCTTTGAATCAGAGTGTCTAAGCGATCTCTACGGACAGCTCCAGACTCGATCTCAATGTGGGCTGTAGAACTCATTTATCGATGCTTTCAACTAATGTTGACTATGGCCATAAAGTATTAGAGCACCTTGAATAAACTCGGATGCACCTCTGTCCATGTCGGAGAACATGGTAAAGCTGTCATTCCATAAAACAGCCAACATCATTTGGCTTAATGAAACCACCTTTAAGGTGTTTAGATAGCCGCGACATGTGTTGGACAGTAAAACAATTAGGCATATAACTTTCTAGACCGGAAAACCATATAATAACAGAGCTCCTGTTAATGGGAGGGACTCTATGCTTGAAGAGTCAAGTATCATACTAAAAGAGACTGTCAGCACTTAGCACGACCTGACAAGAGTTTCTTGCGAAACACAACCTTGATTGTATAGCAGAGGTAGCTGCAGTCTTTCGCTGGTTTAGGCACACTTAGCTTAGGTCTAAATGGGCTGGTTGCATGCTCATCAGCCACAGCAACTCAACTCAACTCTTCGTAGCGACAGCTTGTGGAGCCAATATTAGCTGTGATCAAACCAGCAATTAAAAGAGCAACGTTCTTAACTTATTCTGATTTCTTTTTATATTTTCTTAAGTCTGTGAGGCGTTTAAAAAATGCAGTTGCTTACTCAACATACGAAATCAAACCTTTTAAAATTGAAGAACGGCTTTGTAAGAGGGAAAAACCGCTTCCAAAATCCATCAATGCTTTCCACAATTTGAGATACTCATTCCGGAAACTCTCTTCAATTCGCCAAGAAGAGTGGCCCATTGACTGCCAAATTTTTGTTTTTATTATCTTACATACACACATTTGTTTTTGTATACATATAATATTATCTAATCAAATATAGTAAATATTGACGATCGATAATACATAAATATGTACATATTGAACGGCTCGCACGTAAACACGTACACGTACACATACACATATAAATGCATGTATTTAAATGAAGTTAAACTTCTTATCATCAACAAACTCAGTGCAACAGTCAAAATCCAGAGCCTCTGAAGCGCCGCAATCCAGCCAAAATCAGTCTGCCGAGTATTGAACCAGCGATACAACCTATTCTGATGAGTGCTTTTTATCGCGGCGAAAACGACATTTGACAGTCTAAATAGCGATTTCTTAGCGTGTGCATGAATGGCTGAACCTTAAACAGAAGCCAATGAACACCGCCGCTCCAGCGTTCCAACAATGGTATTGTTAAATAGTGGCGGTTTTTGAATTTAGCATAAAAATGAAGCAATGAAAATTTACTAAAATTAACTTGAAATTAATAATCACAAAATAATTGATGTTGTTGACAAAACAAGTGAAGTTTCAAAGAATTTTGTGTTTAAACTAACTACAACAAAAGTTCCGCTACACAATGCCGCTGCTGCTACCGACAATTGAAGAGGAGGGCAAAATATCATGGTTGCGTGTATTTTACCGTTATCGGTTGCAATTCCAAGCAATGGCTACAGGTGAATTTCGATCGAAATACGAGTATTTTTAAGTGATAACTGAGTCTTGTTAAACAAATGCTCAGTTTTGTTTGTAAAAGAATTAGAAAGGAGATTGCAGAGAATGAAGGGTTAAATATACTTAAAATGAAGGAAAAATAATTAATTAGTAAATATTATACTGTTGAATAATTCAAGATATTCATAGCGTCCAGATGTGTAATCATATCAATATATATACAATTTTCAGAGAAATACTAACTTTGAGAAAATTCATTTCTTAGATTCGTTTGCTTGAAATATTCTTTATACTATTGGGTTGTCCAAAAAGAAACCGCCGATTTTTTTTTAAAGAAAGTAAATACGTTTTGTTTTTTTAAATTTCATAATGAACTTTAACCAATTGAGTAATTTCCATTTTGTAAGATGACCTTTCGCCATCTTTCTGGTCTTTATCTGCAAAAAACTGAACGAAGTGCGATTTTATAGCCTCGTCACTTTCGAAAGTTTTACCACTTAATGAATTCTGCAAAGGTTGCGACTATATGGTGGAAGCAACGACAGTTCCCAGCCAAGCACTTTCTGTTTTTGGTGAGTGACCAAAGATGTGTGCGATCTAGCATTGTCCTGTTGGAATAAGAAATCTTAACGATTGACCAATTCTGGCCGCTTCGCGTTGATGGATGTATTCAATTTGCCCAGGTATTCACGGCAGACATCCGAATCAAGGGGACCCTCCCCTGATATTGGAAAATTGTATTTTTTTTGTGGGAGAATGGAAAGACATACGAACTTTCAGTTTTGACTTTTAAATTTGTTTATTATTTGAAAGTTTAAAATGGCAAAAAATAGTCGAAATTCAGTCGACGTCTACAAAGTGGCGCTTTCAATAGGCCCCTGCTCGAAAAAATGGCCCAACAACTTTTCGCCCACAGCCTCTGTTAGTAGACTGAAATCAAAAATCGCTGTTACTTGAAGATCATGAAATTTTCTACGTCCTGAACCTCAATTGAAACAATTTTAACGATAAATTTATTGCGTAATCCTCATTGCAATTATTAAGTTAACTTTTTCGCTACTTTTTTCACTTCAATTACGTTAAAAAATATAAATAATTCATTATTAATGCCATTCTTAGGTTCAAGACGTATAAAAAACTGTAACTTTCAGACAGTTCTTAGATAAAAGCAATCGGACGGATATATCAAGCTCCGAGCTTGAAGTTAGAGTTAGAGTTTTTTGAAAGTTCGTAGTGTGCTTGAGACAGGTGTATTCGAGAAGCTGCCATTTGAAAAATATTTATCGTATTGCAAATCCTTTGAGCACATACTCTAAGCCATATATAGGTTGTCAAATATCAATGTTTTATAAAAAGTGTTGCAGTGATCGGATTTAGTTAAAATATGCGCCGTTTTGTTCGATGATCAGTTTCCATCTAGACGGCAACTTCATAATACCTTCCTCTTAGAAGCCCTCTTCCTTATTTGCGAAGAGTTCGGACAGCCACTTTTCGCAAGTCTCTTTTGAGTTCAACTTCACACCACCAAGGGCATTCGCCATGGACAGGGACAGGTGGTAATCACTTGGCGCTACGTCCGGGCTATCTGGTGGATGCGATAAAACCTCCCATCCGAGCTCCCGTAGCTTCTGACGAGTCATCAACGAAGTGTGTGGTCTGGCGTTGTCCTGTTGGCCAATTATGGACGCTTCTGGTCGATCGCCTGCTTCAAGCGGTCCAGTTGTTCGCAGTAGATGGTAGAATTAAGTGTCCGGCCATATGGGAGCAGCTAATAGTGGATGATTCCCTTCCAATCCAACCACTCACACAGCAAAACCTTCCTGGCCGTCAATCCCGGCTTGGCCACTGTTTGGGACGATTCACCGGCCTTCGACCACGACCGTTTTCGCTTGATATTGTCGTATGTGATCCATTTTTCGTCGCCAGTCACCATCCGCTTCAAGAATGGGTCGAGTTCGTTCCGTTTTAGCAGCGGCACCAAAACGTCAAACCTTTTTTTGTATCCAGCCTTCTGTAGATGGTTCAAAATGGTTTGGTGACTAACTCCCATCTCCTGGGTGATGTCACGAGATGCCATATGCCGGTCTAACTCGATGTATTCCATGATTTGATCGGTATTTGTCGTCACAGGTCTTCCGCCGGCTGGCTTATCCATGGTGTCCTTTTCACCGGCTCTGAATCGTCGAAACCATTCCTCCGCGGTTCGAAGTGATAGAGTACCATCCCCCAAAACACCATTAATCTCACGGAACGTTTCTCTAGCGGATTTGCCTTTAACGAAGGAAAACTTTGAAATAGCGCGAATTTCGGCGTTAGTGAACTACATGTTTACACGTCTATAACTGTTGAACGCAATATCCAAACTAATCATGTATAGCGTTGTTTTGTAGGTTATGACAAGACCTTTCAAATTATGTATAGTGTTGCCAGATACGAGCTCTGTAGCGCTTTGTGCATGGCTGCGAAATTCAAAAGACAAAAAAGCGAAAGGGAGATATTTGACAACCTATATTTAGCCTTTTTTTTTGGTAAAAAAATCGATTTTTTGTTTCAAAAACAGGGGAGGGTCCCCTTAATCGTTTGGTTCCTTTGAAGCAGTTCAAAACCACACCCTTCCAATCCCACTAAACCTTTAGTATAGTCTTTGTTTGGTTTGTGGCGCTTGATCATGATTGGACCTTGATCGTTTTCAATTCTAAAACAAGTTAAAAGTAACAGCTGTCACAAGTCACAAGCTGTATAAAAAATAGTCAACGCCGTCAGCATGAAAAATCGGCGGGAGTAATCCAATACATAAATTGTTTGAAAAAATTCGCAAATTAATTTGTATTAAATTAAATTATTCACACACATTTTCTTATATTTTTCCAAAATTTTCTCTTCAGCATCAGCCATTTCCTTCGCTGGTGGTATGAAGTTGGCTTGGTCTGTATTTGAGAAACCCACTTTTGATTCACCAAAACTAGTCGTCGTTCACTTGCTGACCATTGCGTGGTTTGTAGGCGTGGCTGCAGGAGCAATCTTGGCAACAGGATTTGTGGGACGAGTTACCAAAAATGTCGCAAATGTAAGTATGTAGGATATACAGTATATTAAGTAACTACGCATACCCAGTAGAAAATTAAGAACCAAAAACTATTTTAAATATCGTTAACTGAAGAAACATAAAGTTATTTAGCGTTTACTTTATATTCAATAGGGCTTAATCATTGCTTAGAGCAGCCCACTTCATAGTTTTTATTCAGTTTTGAGCGATAACTACTTTGTCACGCTAAGACTGGCTTTCGACTGTTATGCTTTCTGATACTCATAGAAATCTCTTCTTTGTGCCCTCCAATATATATGATATCTGATGTATCATTATGGCAAATACAGCCCCACATCAGTACACTTTCCACTTGTACTGGAAACACTCACGAACGTTTCCGTAGACCTCGCGGATTACCGTAGGATGCACTTAATTATGCAGCTCTTATGAACATAGCTCCAACGCAGAAATTAGCTGTTTTCGCTGCTCACTCACTCAAGGTGGCCATTCGTCCCTCTGCAACAAGTAAGCAGAAGGAAAAGTGCAGAGCAAAGACAGAGTCGGTTTCTGCGGTGAAAATCTAAATTATTTGATCTAAAGATTGATTGTAAAAGTTGGCACGGATTGCTCGCTTACTTCTGTGAGTGCTTCTACTACTAGACTAATATTTTGAGATGATAAGGTAACGTCTACAGCCGCCTCCGTACGTACACGAAGGTGAGTTTTCATTTACATGTTACATAAGGCTGCAATGTCCCATTTTCTTTTACCATACTATTTTTTCCTACTGCAATTAAAATTTAAAATTTTTAAGAACTCGCATTATATTTTTCTCATGCAGAACATTCAAAACCTGCTAAAAGCAAACATGTTAAAAATATTTTTTTTTTAACCTTAATTTAATTTTAATTGTTAAGTCAATAAAATATTAACAAGTATGAACTAGGGAAAGGTAAATAAATTCGTTGAATTCAATAAAAATAAGATAAGCCTAAATAAAATCAAAAATTTAAAATTAAAATAATATAATCTACAATAATATTATCAACCGCAGTAGCCGAGTGTTTAGCACTGCATACTGCCATTCGGAAGGCTCGGCTTCAAATCAGGCTGATGTACTAAAACCCGAGTGTATTTCCGATATGAAATAAAGTACGTCATTAATACATACTAGCGGTTCGAAGACGGCTTGGTATGAACTGTAGGTCCCTCCATTTTTTGGAAAAAGATTGTGACGCAAACCACGAAATGGAGGAGGAGCTCGGCCAAAAATCGATTCAGCGGTTACAAATCGCCAATTGTTTAATAAAATAAAATAAATTAAAAAAAAGAGAAAAAGTTTTAAAATATAAAAATGCAAAATAAAAAATAAATAAATTCAAATGAATCAAATGCAATACAATAAAATAAAAAATAACGCCTAAAATCAAACAAAGTCATTAAAATAAGAGAGAACAAAGTAAAAGAACATTAAAATTAGTTGTATTAAATAAAACGTAATGAAACTGTTATTCAATAATAAACGTTTGGCTACAAAGGAAAAAAACACCAAGTAGAAACGCGGTGAAATTTAAACGTTATTAATGGACTCAAACCCAGAACTCTCCACATGATAATCCGTACTATATATAATATGTAATATCGTAACACAAATAAGAAGTTGAATTAATTCAATTATTTGTAATATAAATTCACTAATTGTTGTCATAAGCTCTCTACTGAATATCCAGTCGAACACGATGAAATTTAATTCAAAGAACAGAACGTAAACTAAACGCTGCCGTGACATCCGAGTGGTTACCACTGCGTACTACCATTCGAAAGATCAGACATCAAATCCTGGTACGACCAACATTGTTGTATTTCTAACATGGAATAAAAGCCAATTATTATTTGCCTCAATCGACTAATCATTAGTCAGCAATATTGGTCTGTTTCATTAAGTCCACCGAAATAATTGACTGAACTCTAATAAAAAACGACTGAAAACGTTTTTCAAATAACTAATTTACAAAAAACCTCAATTAAAGTTACGAGGAAAGCAATTTTTAAAATATTTGAAAACGCTTCGCTAGGTCATGCTGTTCAGATTTCGGGAGTTACATTTGAGCAGAATGTGTCAGTCAATAATTTACAACTGCGCTTGTGTAGGAAAACGTAGAAAATCCTTATAATAATATTTTTCGCAAAACATATGTACACTTAAACCAGTTTAGTTGGCATTAAGTAGTACATGCGCTTGTCTAGCGTCTAGATGGTAACCTTAGGCGCGCGCTTAAATCTGGAGCAGGTAGAAACCAAGTAATAGTGACGTTCCTATTTATTCGCAACAACAAATTTGTTTTATTCCATAGAAAACTAGTTTACAACTGAGCCAAATATTTCAGTATAATGTTAGTCCAATTAAACATAATCTTCTTTTCAGCTCTTAAGTTAAGAATAGAGGAATTTCATAAACTCATCAACTAATTTTTTTTTTATTCCCTTTTTCATTTCAGTACACAAGCGGATTGATGCTCCTGCTTGGTGGCTTGCTATTCTGCTGTACACCCAACTCTTATTTGGCTATATTGTCCAGCTGCCTGCTGGAGGGCTGCGCTTATGGCATCAATCAAATACAGAGCCTTGCGACAGCCGGTGAGGTGGCACACAAGGATATACGCGGCCTACTGGTTGCCAGCGAACGCATCTTCCTGTGGCTTGGTGTCTCCTTTCAACTGCTATGTACACGTTTATGGTTCCTCAACGAACCCCCTAGTGGTTATGTAATGCACGTAAATCAATTACACGGTCTTTTGGTGATCTTCATAGCGCTGGGTGCGGTTGCCTTTAATATACTGCACCGCTTTGAATCACCTATCCACCTACAGCGGCAAGGCCGTGACTTGGCCGCCAAATATGTTATGAAACAACTTCAGAATGCTCGTTATCCCAGTCTGGAGTTGGCACAAAACCACGGAGAATGCAAACAATTGCTGGTATATGATGCGGGTCAAAGCATCGGGTTGACATTGCGCAAATACAATGTGCTGCCGCTGCTCAAACTCCTCCTACTGCGCTGTTACGGCACTATTTCATTATCCCTGCCTGTCAATCGCATTTTCATCACAGCGAGTATGACGGGTTTGAACTGTAGCATGAACTGTGTTTATCTTTTGGCGCTTTGTGGTTTGCTTGGCAGCATTTTGGGCGCCTTCTGTGTGGACAAATACGGGCGACGGAGGATCGCTGTCATTAGCTTATTGTTCTCGGGTACATGTGTCTTCCTCATGGGCGGCGTGCTGCAGTATATTTACGAAGAAATCTCAGAGATTCTCCTAACCCACCTGACTTTTGAGTTGGTCGTTTATTTGATGTGCTGTTATCAGTTGTTCTCATGCGCTGGCGTCTCGTTGATTGCCAGCGTTTATATGTCAGAAGCGTTTACAACTGCCGCGAAACCCTTCTGCTTATCGATATTGCTGGTTTGTGAACAGACTGTGCAAATTATGTTGGCTCTGTTAGTATTCTATGTAGACTTCAATGAACCACAATTCTTCTTTATCATGGGGGTAGTGGGTATGCTTATGGGCATAATAACGATGTTTGCTATGCCAGAGACTATGAATACATCACTTTATGAAAGTCTTCAAAAATTCAATGGAATTCCTTAATAGAGTTAAGCTTTAACCTTACCAATGAAATCGAATTTAGTGAATATCTATTAATATACTTATTTGTAAGTAATCATTTATTACTGTTAGTAGGTTAAGCAATTAAATCATATCGTAACTTATTTGTTAGCAATAAGCAATATTCAAGAACTATACTTTTTGTTGTAAACTAAATAAAAAACAATATTAGGGATAATTTGGATTATTTGGGAAATGATAGAGAGGGTAAGTATATATGTATGTTGATCCCTAACTTAGTTAGAAACATCATTTAAAGTTAATTGAATTCTTCTATTCTTCAAAGTGTTAACATAATAAAAAATGCTTAACTACCTACTTTGCTTTCGTAACATAACTGTTTCGAAGCCCCTGATAATTTTGATGATTTTACCCGGCCAGGTCTTGCATGGCTGGTAAATCTATTTCTTTCTCGCGTTAATATTTAAAGTTACATTTCTTTTCCATCGGAAGTATAGCTCATCTAACTGGCTTCACCACGTTTTAAGCTAAATGTTCATAAGTACCAAAACTAGAAAGTATTTTATTTCCCCAAGGCAACCACAGTCACCACAAACATAGATAAATGCCAATTTATAAAACTTAAAATACCAAAAAATTAGTTAAAAAAGGATTTATGAAAAATCTTATAACGTCTTTACCTCCTTAAACTTCTATTGAAAAATCGCATTGAAGAGCTGGCAAAGCCCTTAAGCTACCATAGGCGATTACGGTTGATGAAAAGAAGACTTATTTTGCAAAACACCGCAGTACTGACTACAATGATATACCTTTGCAACCGCTATAACGATTTGCGGTCGATTTCGGATGATACTAAAATAATAAGTAAAGAAAATAAGTGCAAATAAATATATAAAATTTTATGGAGAGACGAGGCGAATCGATTTAGTAACGTCTGTCTATCTTTTCGTCCGTATATCTGCCGAACGATAACTGAAGCAGCAGGGATTGAAATGTCAGTCACATTTTATATCACACATTCGCTATATTGAGAATAATTAAAATCGGATACATACATACGGAAATACAAATTTAAAATCATATTTGTTAGGGACCATCTCAGTAAATATAAGGAAGTGAAACCAACATTTTTATTATGATAAAATTTGTTCATTTTTATTGTCAGTGTTGTTATAGTTCGAAAACAAATTTCTTACCCCTTTCTTAAAACTTGAGCCGAGTACCTAATGTTCGGTTTTACTCGGATATAAAAGGTTCGGTAAGCTTACGAGAAAAAGAAATCCTTTTTGTATTTACTAGTACTCTTTGTTCTTTTGATCTTCTTTACATAAATGCCATTAATTTTAATGCATTTCTTAAGCCACTTCTGAAAACAGTCTTCAAAATCTTGGTTTTTAAGTTTATCAAGTTCAGCATTAACTGCATTAATTATCTCTTGTTTGTTATTAAAGACCTTTCCTTTTAATTTTTTTTTAATTTGGGGGAATAACCAGAAATCACAAGGTACTATATCTGGAAAATACGGTGCTCGATGTATGTATGGGATTGCGCGTTGTCATGATACAAAAAGTAGCGCCGCAAATCCTCTTTCATCCTGTTTTCCAACAATTTTATTTAATATTTTGGTAAGCACTCTTCGGTGTAATATTTTGCAGTTACCGTCTGACCCTATTCCTGTGGAATAGTAGCTACGTTTTGTGATCAGGTGTAGTAAATTGGCATTATTACTTTTGCTGCTGATTTTTGTCGCTTGGATTTTACGGGTGGGTTTGCTCCTATTGGGCTCCATATGGTGGACTGCTGCCTAGTTTTCGTATTGTGCTTATAGAACCAAGATTCGTCACCGTTAATGACTGTACTAAAGTTGTTAGACTGACCGTTTCATGGCTGTTTCATGGCCATGGCATTTAAGCCAAAATCATTCTGTCAATCGTGGGTCTTCGTCAATTTTAAACTTCACCAGAGCTACAGTGATATCATCGGTGTAAGATTTTGGTCGACCTTCTCGGCGCTCGTCCTCTACAGATAACTGTCAGATCTAGAATCTTCGGAACCACCTAGAAAAAATCTGTAATCGTTTAACATGCGATTTGGCATTCACTGAATATTTGTATTGGCTGAAAACCGAAGAGAATCACATGACGAAATTCTGTTTGCGTAGGTGGTGGAATTTCGTCTGACCTATCCTTAGCTATCTTTCGTCCTCTCGTCTTCATTTTAGGCGCTCGTTCTAAAATTTTAAAGGAAGGCTATTAACTTAATTGCAAGAGATTTCGTATTTTTAGATGTAACAAAAACAACGTCCTCTTCTGTCCTTCTTTTTTCGAAAAGTGCATTAACTACTCCCCGAAAATATGCGATTATGGGAAACTACCGCTAAACATAAAAAGTGTAATTTAAGTATTCAGCTATGTATACATAATTGCATTGGCTCACTTAGAAGCCGTGCTGAATTTTAATTTCCTGCATTAAGTCCCGTGTCACTTGGACATTCATGATACCTTTTGTGTGTTATCGGTTGCTATGATTTAAGAAAATATAGAATTAGAAAGACTTTATGTTAAGTTTTTAAAGTATGTATAAATGGCCTTTTTCCTTTCTGACGGAATTGAACAGAAAACTTATTATTATTTTTTTAATTTAAATATTGATGCCGTTACATTCAAGCAAGTTTTGTGAAATCTTTAAACTTCTGAAAACTTTTTTAGTATACGAAGAAAACTTGACTCGATTCAGAGTTGTACTAATGAACGAAGCTTTCGTTCCACAAGCCATTGAAAGCTTTTTTCGATGAGCTATAATACTAGCAAAGTAAGTTAATTTCCCATAATACCTTTACTTTTGTCATTAAGTAACAATGCCAATATAATGAAAAATTGAATAATGGGTAAAAATTTTTTTTAAATATAATATAATAAATATAGCATTGCTCTCGCAAATGCTTAGTTTTTTTTTTTTTTTTGTATTACGTAATAATCAATAATTTACCATCAAATTATTATTACTTCAACAATTGTGCTAATATTTACATGACGCTCATTTTATTTATAGTCTTAAAAATCACATTCAGAATATTTTTAAAGAGCTAAAATCCCGACTAAGAGATACTAGACGAATTGATAAAATCTTTGGATTCAGATACCATTCAGCTTTATATAAATAATAAATAAATAGTGGTAAGAAAATTCCTGCACCTTCAATTATCTGTTCCCAAAGAAAGTAGAAATTTACTGGCATTTGAGTCTGTTACGTGATAGATTATCTTAAAGCTACAAAGCTTTAAGGGCATACTATTATTTTGAGCTTTTAGCATGTACAACCCAGCAGACAAGTAGTTAAAATAATAATACCATAGTTTGTTCTTATGATTCATTTACTTTCTGAATAAAATATTATCTAATAAAAAAAAATTTCTTAAATAAATAAATTATTATATACTTGAGAGCAAATATTGTTAATATTAATCCCGGTTATGAATAATACAAAAAAAAAAATTTTCAAATTTTTAAGTGAAATAAAAATTACACTTTTACATAAATTTCATTTGCTTTGGGATTTCAGTATCCATTTCATAAAAGACGCCTGAAAACTTGTATCCTTCTAAGAGAAATTTTTGAGCTTATTTCGCTCCAATTACAAACCTTATAAATATACATATAAACATTTTTTCTCTGCAGCCATGTTGGCTGTGCTGGCGTAGGCGATGAAGCCAAGAGTGTATGTGGTTTAAAATTTTGTATGGAGAAACAGCTTATTATGCTTTTCACACAAATTTTTCTTACGCACACATATGTATATATTGCAATTTGATATGTATTATATATGTATGTGAACATATATATGGATAAGCAATGCGCCGGGCGCGAAAGATGAAAAATCCACTCAAGTGAGTTAATCTAATGATGTGGAAAATTTAAAAATATCGATACGAAATTTTTGTATCAACTATTTACATCGCGGGCAAATACATACACACATATATGCGGATAAATGTATGTATTTACATACATATGTTTGGCTCACTAAGTAGGAAGTTAGCGTTATGGCGATGGATGCAAATAGTTCTTATATCGATTTCAGAATGCTTGAACGCCAACACAGCAACAGTTAGCTCTACAATATATATACAAATACATTTACAAACTCATACTTAAATATATATGTCTATGTAGATATTCATGTCTCCGTATTGATATGAAGACATCAGTTTGTGTGGCAAAATTGAGCGTCAGGCGTTCATAAATCACATATTCTTACACACGAGCATATGGACATACAGATGTACACTCAAAAAGTATATGCATTGATGTAGTTATGGCAACTCGTGAAATTGAAATGTTAGAATTTGCAAAATTAGAGCTAAAAGAACATAAATTTGGAAGCAGAAAATAAAATTTTTTTGATGCAAAAAAAAAATATTTTTGAAAATTGGAAAATTTCCAGAATATAGTATTCGAGATGAATTTCAAAAATAAAGTTGAAAAATAGGTTTTCAAAATATTATATTCATCTATAATTATAAACTTTTAAAGGGTCTGAACTAAAAGAGTGGTGCATTTCTGGATCCGATTTTAAGCAGTAATATTAAATAATAAATATAAATACATAAATATTATCACTCAATTTCACAAGGTACGAGGTGGGACAATTAAGTAATGAGACTGATTCCATAAAAACCGTATATTTCAAAATTATTCTGCAACTCTACCATCCCCTTTAAAGTAGTCCCCTTGGGCAGCTATACAACGATTCCAGCGCGTTTCCTATGCTTGTTAACATTTCTGGAAAGCTTCGAATAGAATGTCCGCGAGTACCCTCGTCCCGGCCACCTGGATGTTCTCTATCGAGTTAAAATGAGTTTCTTCGACCACTGTTGATCTAGGGAACAAAGAAAAGTCACAGGGTGAAATATGTGGCTAATAAGGCGGGTGTTGCAACACGCTTTAGAGGCCAAATACTGGGACATGCTGAGGGCGGTGTGACACGGCGCGTTGTCGTAATGAAAGATTGTTGACTCGTTTTCGCAAACTTTCGAGTGGATTAATGAATCAATGAATAAATTACTTCATGGTCATACCTCGTATATTCAAGACTAGTTCTTTCAACTCGGATATAATACAGCGTTTTTTTAATCCTCGAGACCTTTCAGCAAATTTTACTTTCAAAATCAAAACAGTATGTAATCCAAACAACTTTA